TTCTGGTCGCAACTAAATATTTCATTAATTTTGCAGATCGGAGATGGTGCCAGAAAATGCCCGAGATATTGGGCGGATGATGAAGTTCAATATGACCACATACTTGTAAAATATGTGCACAGCGAAAGTTGTCCATATTATACTCGCCGCGAATTTTACGTAACGAATTGCAAAATTGATGATACGCTGAAAGTCACACAGTTTCAGTACAATGGTTGGCCAACCGTGGACGGAGAAGTTCCTGAAGTCTGTCGGGGCATTATAGAACTTGTAGATCAAGCATACAACCATTATAAAAACAACAAAAATTCTGGTTGTCGATCTCCACTCACAGTTCACTGCAGGTATTTAAATGGAAATTGTTTTATATATTAATTATTAATACAAATTATTTTTTAGCCTGGGAACTGATCGAAGTTCTATTTTCGTCGCAATGTGCATTTTAGTCCAGCATCTTAGATTGGAAAAATGCGTCGATATCTGTGCCACAACAAGGAAATTACGATCTCAGCGAACGGGACTTATCAACTCATACGTAAGTTATTAATTAGTTAATATATTTTCTTAAACCCTTAATCATTTATTTACCCTTTTAGGCACAATACGAGTTCCTACATCGCGCAATAATTAATTATTCAGACTTACATCACATAGCCGAGTCAACATTGGATTAAGTTAGTTATGTATATACGGGTACATAATGCACGTGTTCGAACATCAATGCATAATGTGCTATGATAAATTATTTGTATATTTATAAAATCTTTTAATAAAGTATTTACAAGGGCAAATGTAATTTTTTTAACGAATTAGGTTTGCCTGAAACATAATATACATACAAATATAAATGTAGTGTATACGTATCGTATTGATAAAACTACCAAAGGAAATTAAGTAACATATTTTATAAGATACAATGTAATAAAAACTGAGAATAAGAATTGTACTTTTTTATGATATTGAGCGAATTGAACTCTTAATAGTAGTCGGATTTTATGGGCGGGCTGGATCGTACTTTTAAAAGCATAATTTTTATTTTTAAAGTAACGGATAGTAAACAATCCCAAGAGTAATTTTTCTTTTTATATGACCCAAAATAAGATCCTTCCTTTACATCCTTCCCAAGCCTTTATTAATAGTTGTTCTCTCCTAATTTTATGTAATTGGAGAAGAAACGTTGTACAATATAGTTTTGAACTAATTGGTCGGGTAAGTCAACTTAAAATACATTTTTTTTAATTAACTAATTACAAGAAGAGATTTGAATACCCCACCGTTCACATTCCATCGTCCCAAATCAATTAAAAATGGTGACACTATCGTGACATTCAAATCAAAACCAATTTTAATTATTTTTTTTTTTTAATCAGATTGGTAATCATTGCAAAAAAAAAATAATCAAAAAGAATTGTCTAAATTTAAAAGTGCTATCACCATGGATGTTTATACTCTCAGAAATTATCGATAGTGCTATATATGGCTTTACCATCGCTATCGGACGAATTGTTTATTTTTATTTAGGCAAAACAAGAATTTCCGAAATATGCCCAGTAAACTAGATAGCCTGTATCGGCGAATGCTGATAACGAGGTTCTTTGAAAAGGGCTGGGGAAAGCCTGAAAACTTGCGCAGGTAAGTTTTTATTATCATTAAAGAATCATGAAAACTTGGTGCTCCTCCATACAGTTAATTTACGTAATACTATTAAAATGTTGATGTGGTTTAGGTTATTTAATTGAGTGCATTTAATTATTTAAAAAGAATCTACAAGTTCAAAAGATTTGGCATTAGTTGTAGTTTAAGTTAAAACAAATTTTGAAGATTTTCTGCAACCAGTCTCCTACGATTTCATCCAGTTAAAGCGATCATCCCACAAAGCGATCACTTAATACTGTTCCACTTACTAACTTAACACATCAAGATTTACCTTTTTAAATTATAAGTAGGATAAATATAATTATAGGTCAATAACAATTAATAGCATGAGCATTTACCATAACTTATCATAACTAGAGCAGGGCAATCACCATCTTCATAATCTTAAATATAGGTCAATAAAAATTAATAGCATGAGCGTTTACCATAACTAATTTCTATCTGGAATATAATTCGGTAATTAATTGAACTTCAGGTTAACATTTATTGTTATTTCATTCAGAAAGATATCTTTTTTATTTGGTAATCATCAAATAATAAATGGTTTATTTCTTAAAGTCGTTTTAATATTATATGAATGGGTAGTGTATTGTTTCTTTTGTAGTTTTACGATGAAATTGTTAATTTACTTTCCAGTTCCCTTTTGCCAGTGGACACTGGATATGACAGCAATTTTTTATTCTCACACACAGGTTAGTGGGAAAAAAAAACCAAATGAAAAACTTCATGAAGGATTTTATAGTAATTTACATCCTATCCCTAATTAAACGCTATAATTAAAAATGCAATAAATAATTGGAAAAGATTCCTGAAGTTCAATCAATTTTTTTCCTAGAATTGCCTATTAATATATTAGTTCCAGTTCATTTTTTTGGATTGTGTGTGCAGCATTATTTCATTATTTTCACCATTAGAGTCCATCAACTAAAATAAGTATAAAATATACTTTCGATAATTGCCTTTGCTTTATGATATTTTTTTTAGAGTATTTCAGTTCCGCAAAATAATTTCCAATAGGGAATCGTGTTTCAAGCTTGTACCTCGTGATTATCCGGTGGAGATTACGAAAAAAGAAATTTCTGCAGAAAGCACACTGATAGAAGGAAAATTTAAAACCCCCCTTGAGTTACACTTACCCGGAGTTGTTCCAAAAGAATCACAGCAGGCACATTTTCAATTGTTGATCCCGAACAAGTGGAAAAATGAAAAGCACAAGCCGGTATGCATTCATTTGGCTGGAACTGGTGATCATGTGAGTACAACTGATACATCCGTGGTTCAAATCTCAAAATAATGTCTGTTTACTTTCGATAGAGGCCGGACGCCAGGCGATCGGCCTACCCAACATTTTGGCAAAAGTGGGTTTGACAAAAAATCCACCTTTTCAGTTTTCTCACATTAGATTTAATATTTCTAAGGGAATTTTATTTGAAGCCTTAGTTATATTTATGTGGTTTTCATTTAACCCTACTTTTTAACCATACTTTAACTGTTTGCCCATTATTTCGGTTCATGGTCTTATTATATTTGATTTATCCCTGTTCAATTCCTCAGTAAATCAAAATAATTTTGTTGGGACCATTTTCAACAATCATTTCAAGAATGTTAGATTTTCAACATATAAATTTTACTTTTACTTACTAATCGTTTATACTTTTGCAGTTCTTTTGGCGTCGAAGAAATTTTATAGCGAAACCCCTTCTGAAAGACGCCAATATAGGATCCATAATACTTGAAAATCCATTTTATGGGTTAAGAAAACCAAATGACCAAACGTAAGTCGTTTGCTTTATTACATTATTTATATAATAATATTTTTTAATTTTAATTAGGCGATCTAATCTACATAATGTGTCTGATATCTTCGTGATGGGTGGGTGTCTCATTCTTGAATGCCTTGTTCTTTTCCACTGGTGTGAACGAAATGGATTCGGTCCTCTTGGCGTTACTGGATTATCCATGGGTGGACATGTAATTAATATTTCTGGAAACGTTTAGAGACATTTTTTTAACCCTTTATTGTTTTCAGATGGCATCATTAGCTGCTACGAATTGGCCAAAGCCCTTGGTTCTTGTGCCATGCCTATCCTGGTCCACCGCTTCGGCTGTTTTCACCACCGTAAGTATGGTTATAATATAAAAAACCAAGTCAATCAAATTTTGTTTTATTTTATGTTTTTTTCAGGGTGTTATGAGTCAATCCATCAATTGGGATATGTTGGAAACGCAGTATTTCTCTGATGGACAGTATAGAGAACGCCTAGCCAAAATGGTCACTGTGATAGATGATGCTTTTTCGGCAGGACAAAGTTTTATTCAAAACTTCAACCAATCCCTGCACGAACTAAAAGAAGACATAAGTGATACGAGAAAGATTCAACAACACGGAAACAGCAATACGTGTGGTGACAAATATGAAACGCAGGGGAGCTGCTCTCAAGAAGATAGTTCCATATTTTTATCCAAGTCTTTGAAGAACACAAAAATGGACTCTGAGAATCTAACAATAGATATTAAGAACACGCTCAGTGAAAAGGTTGCGATCGCAACAGATGAACCTCCAAAGGAGTCAAGCTCAGCGTTGACGAACCTTATGAAATTCATTCTGCCCCTTTCTGCGCAAAACAAATCGGATAAAATAGATATAACCAAGACGAATTGGTGGGAAAGGGAGGCATTGCAATTTATGCGTGGCATGATGGATGAGTGCACCCATCTGAAGAATTTCTCGGTGCCCTTCGACACCTCACTGATAATTGCGGTGTGTGCGAAGGCTGATGCCTATGTCCCGCGGGAGGGATGTTCCAGCCTCGAGGACATTTGGCCGGGAGCAGAGGTACGATATTTGGATGCTGGTCATGTAAGCGCCTATGTACTCCACCAAAAACTTTTTAGGTGAGCATATACTTTTGGACCTGTGTTGTTAGTTATTGGTAAATTTTTTTTATTTATTTTCAGATCCTGCATTATAGAGGCTTTCGACCGGGCAAAGAAGATCTATGAAAATGACACTGGCGAGGGCCTGAAATGTGATATAACCTATCAGCAGTTGCTAAAAAAATATGACAAAAATATTCAGTAATAATAAGCTAAAACATTTAAACATAATAAAGAATATGTTGCCATAGACAAAAAAGGGTTAACATTTTTATTGATGGGTTTGTACCAAAAATATTAAGAATTATGTGGGATTAAAGCTGGAAATCAAGTATCAACTCAATAAAAACTTAAAAAGAAATCAGTAAAATAAAAATAAAAATTAACAACCCGGTAAAAAAAAATTGTCTTAAAGAAATCTAAGCTTTTTTATTTGCTCCCCAGTCGGAACTTCCTGTTGTTAAGATTTGGTCACACTGGTCTTTAGCTTTTGTTTTCGTTGACTAAAATAAATAAGGGAATTATAAAAAAATGGATCCAGCCGTTTTAGTTTTATCGTATGGGGCAACCACTCCCATGGAAATCGTCGAAAGTATGAGAAGTTTACCTAATAAGTCACGAGCGTTCATTAATATTCAGTTATGTTGGTTTTACAAAATTCTCACGTTGTTAAGGTTTTGTTTATTTGCTTTTAAAAATTAATTTACAAATTCGTGAGTAATACGGTTAAAGTTAAGTTCGCCCAAGCTTGCTAATTAAATTTACTCATTGAATTGCTTTAAAACCTAACAAATGGGGACGGACTTTAAAGGCAAAGTTTTGGGGCAATAAAGGTCACCAGATAAAGAAAAACTTCTTATTTTCAACTGAAACTTTCTTAAATATTAATATTACCTCATTGTTGAATAACCATTATTTTGTTACAGACATTTTCTCAGAATTGGATCAACCAAAAGAATCAACTTCTACGGAATGTTCACTGAATTGCTATAGATGCATTATCAAAACAAAGTACTATAACACTTCAATAAATTTAATTCCCTTTTCTGGCAAATTGGAAAGTGTTCCTGAGAAAGTTCTGAAGTCTTCTGAGGCTTTAATCATTTACTTTGACTCAACAGATGCAAGTATTTAATATATAAGAGTATAATACTAAGAAATACATTTAAAGTGTTTACTTGCAGACTTCCTTTATCGACACTATTCCCAAAACGTTGGCAAAAAATGAACAGATCCAGTTAGGCTTTCTTTTAACGTCTCCCAATTCAGGAGAAGAAAGTGGACTTTCTTTCGGCGAAATAAAAGAACGTACAAATTTCTTCTTTGACATTATAACGTTAAAGAGTAACGTCGAAAGTGATTCTGATGAACCGGAAAAGGATTACGAAGAAGTTGTGGAAGGTTTAAAAAATGTTGTTTGGTCCAATGTTAAATTTGGTTCTGGTACGTTAAAATATGTTCACTAATTAAACAATATTTAAAGGTTCCATTTTACTTTCAGAACACAAAGAAGAAATTAGCTCGGACGAATTGGATAGTCAGTTAAAAGACTTTGAAAATTTACTCATCACTGCGCAAAGCTTACGTAATGATACAAGCCTAACTCGAGAACAATTTCTAGATAGAGCTGAGCAGTTCGCTGGAATTGTTTCCTCAATTTTAAATGACAATGATAGCGACTAGCAAACTTATTATACCGTTTGTTACTAAAAAATAAATGTTAAGTTGATTCCATGGTATTTTTAAAATTTTTTAATTGTAAAAGGGTCCCAGTTTTAATAGTTTTTGTAAGCTTCTAACGGCTCCAAATAGAATAAACACGATTACTTTAAATATATTTGGTTTATTATTAAAAGCGGTACATATTTTTTGACGAAATAACAAGGTATAAAACGTTGTTTATTTGCTAATGTATGCTTGAGAGCTTATGTATATTAAGGAATGAATAAATAAAGTGTGTGTTTGTTGTTAACTTTCAATCATAAACATAAAGATTCCGTTGTGGGCGATGAACAAATAATATTTCATGGTTTCGCATTTTTCTGTAACGATTAATAGTTAGTTTACAATCTGCAGTTAGCTCTCATGACTCTTAATCTTACCTCCTCGGAGAAATCCATATCCTCTTTAATTGCCTTTGATCGTCGCTTTTCGTTTGATGTTAGCAGTTGTGAGACCTTCGTTTGTTTTGCTAGATCGTAGGCTTCTTTTTTACTCCGCATTGCACAGTCTTCGAGGGTTTCGGCAGCTTCGAACATGCCTTGCCGCCGATAAAGTGCTCCCAGATTTTTTAGAGTGGTTGTGACCGTGGGGGAATCCACTTTAGCAGCCTTGTGCCATCCACCGTACTCGCCATATGGAGTGTTCTCCCTGTTATCAAATTTGTGCTCCTCACGCTCTTCGGCCACCTGAAAATCGAGGCAACTTTGTAGTCTTCACTTAGCTAAATAGTATTAGAAAATATTACCTGCCAAATGGGCTTGTTTTTACTGTCGATAGCTCCAAACTCACGTTCGTGGGCTCGCGTCAAGACCTGCTTATAGAGGATCTCAGCCTCGGTATATCTTCCTTGCTTTAGATAGCAGCCAGCCAGATTATTCTTTGTCTTGGCCACATTGGGGTCATCGGGTCCCAGTTTTGATTCGTAAATGTCGAGAGCTCGCTGGTAGTACTTCTCAACCTCATCGTATTTACCCTGATTCTGGCAGAGCAAGGCGAGATTGTTGAGTTGCTTAGCAACATCGGGATGATCCTTTCCCAGGACCTTCTCGCGGATCTCCAAGGCACGCTTGCAAAGGGGCTCGGCATCTTTGTACTTGCCACGTTTGCCATAGAGGACGGCCAAATTGTTTAACGTGGCCGCCACGGCTGGATGGTTCTCGCCCAGAGTCTTTCCCCGAATCGACAGAGCGTCGTTCAGTAAATTGGCGGCCTCCTTATACTTGTTCTGAATGGCATTAAGTTTTTTTAATTAACAAACGTATAAATTAGGTTAATTTAAGCAAAGACGTACCTGGTCACGATAGACGAGAGCCAGAATATTCAGCATTGTTGCTACATCCGGATGGTCGTGTCCACTGGTCTTTTCGAGATCTTCCAAAGCTTGTTTGCAGAGGGGAACGGCTACTTCGTACCTGAAAATATAACAGAAGAGTTGTAGATATTAGAAAGATAAACTTGCAAGTCATTAGTTAATATGAATATTATTTTATTTATTTTTTTATTGTTTGACGTACCTGCCCTGCGATGCATACTGGATGACCAGGTTGTGCAGAGTTCGTAGACGTGCTGGAATTTCGTAGCCGGAAGTCTGGTTGGCGAACTGGCTGGGCGGAGTGGGCGACATGTTGTTTCTGTCATCGTTTTCCTCATCGGGAAATAGCTCCACCACTGGATCGGTGCGGGACTTCTCGCATGTGTCATCCTGCTCCTGATTTTCGTCGTACTTCTTTACGGAGGCCATGAACTCCAGGTGCTTCTTCTCCTCCTCCAGCTGGGCGACGAGCTGCTCGGATGCCTGGAACTTTTGCTGCGTGTTGGCCAGCTCATCGCGGAGCCAGGCGTTCTCCTGATGAAGGCGGCGCACCTGTGTCTTGAGCTTCTGCTTCTCGGCCTCGATGTTCTGCAGATGGGATGTCAGGGCCATCATCACCTGGGCCTCGCTTAGGCCCAGTTCAATGTTCTCTATGTTCTTCCGCAGCATGTCCGACTTTTCGTTGTCCTTCTGGACTTCTGCAATTCCGTTCATGATCGAAACATGCTCCACTCGCAAGGCTTCGAGGCCTTGGAGGACTGTTTTCGTATTGGTTATTATTTCGTCCTGCGACATTTGCGTCATTTTGCCGATTTTCTCGATTTTCTGTCTGCAAAACATACACAAAAACCGGATTATAAAACTGTTGTTGAACTTTCCCAATCTTAAAGTGAACTTATATGAATGATCATTAAATTAAAAGCTTTAAATTATGTGTATTAAATGTGTTTTACAGTCTGTATGATTTTATAGCTTTGGAGACAATCATTTTAACCGTATATAAAATGATTCAAGCTGCGTTAATCAATACAATGAAAAAGAAAATTGGAAGTGCGCATGTTCGTTGAAAAAGAGGGTTGAAAATCGAATATGCCTGCTTTATTATATTCGTGTTAGCGATAACTATGAAGAAACATATGAATGGTAAAGGAGTAGATCTCCTGAATAACATAAAATGCATAGTATAAATTGTTTTAACCAATTCGAATTTATTTTCTGACCAAATCAAACTTGTTTTGATGGATTTTTAAATTGGAAATAAGGGTGAAAATGTATTCGATTTATATCGAATGTGTTCTTGTTAGACTTTTTTCATTATTATTTACCAACATAGCCGGTACAATTTATGTAAACATGTCAACTCCTTAAAAAGTATTAACGGCAAATTGAATCGTTTATTATACGTATGATTATGGGCGAAAGTTAATTACTTTGGTGTCATGCAATAAATAAAAACGAATGCAAAACAAAATTGCTTACATCAACAGTGGGGAATTATTATCTTTAGAGATCGAAGCTATTAATACCCTAATAGACTTGCCAAACATATGATCACAAAAATAGTCTGCCTCTAGATATTGTTATTATTTTATAGTCTTTCCATTATCTTTCGTCATACGCCTTTCGAATTGGAAATCTAGATTGCGTAAAAAGAGATTGTGTATTGATCATGACGGAATTACTTGATTCTTTATCAGAGCCGGAAAAGCTTAAGTAAACAGTGCGTAACAGAAATACAAATAATTTTACAACACTTTACCCCAGTGTGTTAAGAAAGTGAGTCACTCTATGTACATTAAATCCATTAACACATAAACATAACTTTTCAGTGCATTAGACATTCGCTGCCATACTCGTCATATTTATATGGCATTTTAATGAATTCAGTGTTGAACTCGCTTACGATCTGTGTTTATTTTCGCCGCACGAGATGCAAATAAAGCACTTTTTATTTATGTAAAATGGATCATATTTTCCAGCACAAACTTTTCTTCAAGTGGTTTTATATTTACTTGCAACATACACACATATGACAAGTACATGTCTTTATGTGTGCGTCAATAGAATATTGCTTTTAATCTCAAGTTGCAACTTCTTATGTAAGTTTGTTTGGAGTGTCCTTTACTATTCTGTCTCCTTACTAGACGTATTACTTTATTAAATTCTTAAAATATTATAATTTAACAAAGTTTTTTATAAAAATAACTTACACTGCAACACTTCTAAAATAAAACCGAGTGTGACCGTAGCTGAGGTGTTGAGATATCTTTGACTCTATTCAGTATTTTAAGATGTTTGCGGAGCGGTTACTCTGCCAAGGACTGAACGAAGTGGAATCGAAACACAAAATAAATAAATAACTCCAAAAATTAATCAAATAATTCAATTAATTATATATAATATTATTATACATATTAAAATAAAGAGCAAAATGCATGATTACCATTGCACAAAACACAAGTTCCCAAACAATTTGCTATATGAAAATCGTTATCCTTAATAAATTTACAAGCACGAATAAAATGGTCGTGAACAACAAAAAAACTAACATCATTGTTGCAGCAGGTATGTTTAAAGGAAATTTATTAAAATAATATAATTCTGTTATATTTGTCGAATTTGTAACAACTTCGTTTATTTAACGATAATAACATATTAGCAAGCCGGTATATTTTTGCATTCGAGATACGGTCGCACTATTCTTTTTGTATTAAATTTTTGTAAGACTTTTCAAGTCTCCGTTTTTGTTCTATATTTTAATTTTTACCGTATAAAACTGAACAAAAGAGTATGCCACCCCCAAGACCGAAGGGGATAGGATTTAATACAGGAGCTACCCAACCCAGATCGAACTCAAATACGCCGATGTCGGAGAGGCAACAAATGGCTTTACTTATCCAAATGACAGCTACCTCCTCGACAGGTAAATATACAACAATATATAAAAACATTGTTTTCTGTAAGATTAATGGCTTGTTAATAGCTTAGTTTGCATTGTTTGATTTTTAAATGTCTAGACTAGTTGCGATTGCAAAATATCCGTGGGTACTTCGCTTGATACATATGTACAAAGTAGTACTACATACCTTTCTACATACATACATGTATCTGATTCTCTACGCAAGTAACACCAAAATAAAGTAAAGTAAAAGTATCCGAAAAACGGGTTTGAATATTTTGTATCAACTAATAAATTAATTGAATTAATAAATTAATAAATTAATAAAAATAAATAAATAAATTAAAAATAATAAAGTACAAAAATCCAAAAGACAAAAGAATTTCCAGATTTAATTAAAGTTGACTTGCAAATTTTATCTAAATAAATATTTAAGTATTAGTTTTCCATTTTATAACTATATTTTATATATATATATTTACAATATTTTACTTTAATATATTAAAAACTGAATCAATCAGCTGTCAAATGTATTGTATAAGATTCTCGTTCTTCCAGATTCATCCCGCACCAATTTAAAGAAGAATGAATGCAAGAAAGGAGACACAGAAAACGATGAGAGCAGCCTGAACGAGAAGCAAGAGGTCCTGGACACTAAAGACAAATCTTCAGCGGAGGAAAGCAGCAACGATGGTAAAAACAGCGATTCAATTCATCAGGGAACTTCGGCTGCCAAGCGTTGTTACTCAGACATAGAGGAGGATTACGAAGAATCTGGTGAGGACGTGAAGAAAAAGAAGCGCAAGGACTCAGAGCATAGCAAGGACTTGAAGGGGGCTTCCCTAAAGCTCTCCTCAAGGGTCGAAAAAGGCTCAAAACTAGCAGCGACGAAGGGTTCACCGTCTGGTAACAAAAGCAGCGCCTCAAATGCCGACAAGGAGCAAGTGGAGATCAGCAAAAATGTGGACATTGAAAACGAGACCGAGTGCAGCGATGATTACAAGAGCAACGACAGTCTTTACAACGGAGGACTTAAAGTGCCGCCACTAAAGATTGTGATCCCGCAACAGAACTGCTCCATCGACACTGAGGGCAATGTGCTGAGAACCGGCAAGGTGACTGCCTCTCGGAATGCAGCCCTGCCCTATGTGGTTAGCTCCAATAGCGATTCCATCGACACCGTCATAACCAATCAATCAATTAGCCCGCACGAGAGTCCCCAGAAAAGCAATAGCATTTGCTCCACAGTCCTGGACGACAAGAACATAAAGCTTTTCAATGATGAAAAGAATCTGAGGGTCCTTAGGAGCTCTCATCGAACTGGGGTCACTAGTGTGGAACGCAGTTCCAACAACTCCTCCCCGCAAATGCAGAGCAGTTCTCCATCGCCGGCGTCATCCAATCATGCCAACGATCCTGCGGACGTAAAGCTATCTTACGGCAACATGACTTCTAGTCCAATACCGCAAGGCCACCAGTTTGACCAGGAGACAATCACCAATGTTCCGAGCCCCTCAACGTCTTCAACTTCCTCGTCCAAGGAGATAAATCCCTCGAACGCGGATCTCCATCCGCGGAAGCGGAAGATACGGCCCAAGAATACCGATGATAGTTCAAAGAACTCAAACGCCGCCGATTCCGGTGTGAATTCCGAAGAATCTCACCCCCATGACCACCCCTTCACCAATGGCTTCCAGATGTTTTTGAGCATCCGTCGTCAGATTGAGAAAAAGTGGAAGAGCTTGTATCCGGTGAAGCCAAGACCTCCCCAAGGGTACAACGAGTATCTGTTGACAAAAAAATCGTACTTATTAAGTCGCAATGCGGAAACTTCAGCTCCTGATATTCCCCGTACTGTGCCGCAAGCCATGGAGAAGTTCTATCAGGATCAGGAGAAGGCGAGGCAAGATTTGATACAAGCACACACCGTTGAGCGGGAAAAACTATGCATGAACGTTGAACAGGAGATAATACGAGTCCACTCGAAGGCTGCCAGAAGTATATCTGGACAACCCGCGCCCTATTCCGTTTGTACATACTTAAAGGACGATGAGGTCTACAACATGATTACACCAGAGCAGGACGAAAAGGAAAAGAGTGCGCGGTGCCGATTTAATGGACGATTGCTACTCAGCTGGTTGCAAGATGTCGATGATAAGTGGGAGAAAATCAAGGTAGGTTTACTTTTGAAATTTATTTTTGATGCGATTATTAATTTGTCTCTTTTTACCTAGGAATCCATGGTGCTGCGGCATCATAACGAGGCAGAAAGTCTGCACGCCGTTCAGGTTATGGATTGGAATATATTCGCGAAACGAAATAGGCTTTGCGACAACCCGATTGAAGTAAATTTGGAACACGTTCCGATTGTTTCGGTTGGAGATGATTTTGACACATTGCCAACATAACTGACAAATTGAAATTAATAAATTGTTACAAAATTTGAAACACAAGAATGTGTTTCCCATAATGATTTGTAAATTAGTGATACTTTTAAACACCACACTCAAAACAATTTGATTTGTCCACATTTTTTATTTATCATCCTATTTACGTGCAAAATTTATTTCTTTTAAGGCTTAACGTGCATTTAAGTTGTCCACAATAATTCTTGCATAGTTAACCATTTCCTGTAAATAAAGTAGGTATGAAATTTGATAAAAAGCAAAAGATTTATTACAATCTTACTTCGCAATTTTCCGTCTGTTTGTTTTTCGAAATAAAAAGTTGTAGAGAAGACAAGATGTCATTGCGCTTCTCTGTGGACAGTTTTAAATCTGATTCCAATGAAAGAGAAGATAGCGCAAACAAAGTGGTTTCTTGCTTCACATCATATTCTTCAATGGGTTTTAGATTTTCCACTAGCACAGGAAATACCTCCGCCTTGACAAAATCATCTGAAAAAATGAAAAGTTTAAGTTTATGTGGATTATCAAAATCACTTCTATATATGTACCTCTGACCGACTTGTCCCCCGACGTTAAAGATGCTATAAGAAATGCGGTCTTTATGTAGACATTCGAGTTTGTTGATTTTAGACAGGGTATCAAAGCTCTGATACCCTTTATTCGTTTAAACTCATTATATCCCGGCTGAAAGTTTCGTATTAGCGATGATATCGCATAAATTGAACTCCGCACGATGTCTTGATTGGCATTGCTCAAGTTCTTTGTAAGTACAGGTAAAAACTTATCGTTTATGAGGGCGTTTTGACAAAAGATATTATTTTGTGCCACTTCAGCAACTGTATTGAGTGCCGAAATTCGTACTTCACTATCTGAATCCTTTATATAGCGAAGTAGAGTCGCGGTTCCACCGAGCTTTACCAGGGAGATGGCATTATCGATATCGTCAATGTATGTCCTTATGGCCTCTAGACTTTCGATTTGATCCTCTGTGCTGGCTTCATCACTATTGAGTATGACCAAAGCTGCTTTTAGTGCTGCTGATGCATCTGTTGTCATGGCATTTAGGGCATTTGCCAAGAATTCATGTCTCTAAAGGAGCATTAGGAATGTTAGAACCTTTTTTTATTAACAAATTATTTGGAAGAGTTAACATAAGAGTCTTGCAAATGATATAAAATTCAGTTTTTAAGGCTATTTTACATTTTTTACATTCGACTGATGTATATAGTTCTCTTTTTATAAATTTTAAGTATTTAAGATTGCTTTTCTTCTTTAAAAAAATTTGAAACAAAGCTTACTACTTTATGATGAGATGATTTTAATCTTAAAGGCTATATTTTAAAAACTTAAATAACTTAAATCGGTTCAAGATACCCTCACATAATAAAATTCCACCTGGGAGAACCACATGGCCACAAAAGTTCTAGGTGATTCGATTGACTCATTGATTAAGTCACGATTATATATTTTAAAACAAATAATTGTTATTCTGAGCAAATTGGGAGCATTGTTTAAGCAATAGAAGCCTTTGATAATTTCTAAATTATATTTCAAAACTCCAAACTCGAAATGTTTACAAACCTCAACATCTGGTGCTTCATCCAATTTTGGCTGTCCAGTTTGGTCGTGGTGTTGTACCGAATATTTCAGCACATTCTAATGAAAATAAAGTTTAAATTGTGTTTTACATGAAAACGTAACTCAATTAATTACCTGATAACTTATTGCTCCCCTTGGTACGTTCGGATCGGTCATTTTTGAAAAATAAACAGACTATCTGCAAACCAAATTAATTTTTGTTTTTGACAATAATTAGTGATGGTACTTGACGTATATCGCAAAACACCGATAAATCAACCACTAAACATAATACATTTTTGCTTTTGACTTTAATAAATTACACAATAAACACGAGATTGGAGAGTGGGCTATATTTAAAATATATATTATTTAATAATTCTTTAATTTTGTAAACCACCTGTTTACCCAGTCCCTTTCCGATTGCCCCGAAGTGTTCCAAATTCCGCGTTCCACTGGTGATTCGGCAATATTTATGCGGTGTAGATAGTTCCCAATCATATGTTTATAGCTGTGATTCTGAGGAGAGATATTAAAAACAAATATTAAATAGGATTAGCGTATGCGGTAAATAAACAAGAATGTTACGAGACCTCATAACGTGGGTGTTGAATACGTATCTTGGCAAATATCTGGAGAACTTAAATTCCGCCCAATTGTCTGTGGCTCTGCTATCGGGTAATGTGATATAATTGTTTATCTTTATTCCGCATCATATAGACCTACAATATCTTTTCTTTCAGGCGAAGTTGAGCTTGAGAATATACCCATTCGCAAAGATGCCCTGCGGTCTTTCAATTTGCCGGTCGAAGTCACCGCCGGCACTATACGGAAAATCAAACTCCAGATCCCTGTCCGCCAGTTCCGGACCTCACCATGGTGCATCTCCATCGAGGGACTATTCTGCATCATCTGCCCAAAGAACCTGGAGAACTGGGACTACGAGAAGGAAAAATTGCAGGATTTGGAGTACAAGCTTGCCGTTTTGGACACCGCTGAAGCGGGCTGGCGGTCCGAAAAGGGAAAGCAAATGGAATCATACTACTTTTCGTCCTATAATAATTGGCTTAAATATGGCACCAACATGGCCACCAACATTGTTGACAACATCGAACTCAAGATATCCGATGTGCACTTTCGATTCGAGGACATTGTGGACACCGGAAAGAGCAGGATATGCACGGGCATAAAGATCGGATCCCTCACCGCCCAAAGCTGCGACTGTGATTGGACCAATGGGTCATACAAAATGAATAACAATGAAATGAACTATAAGCTGGTGGAGCTCAAAGAGCTCTCTGTTTACTGGGATCTGTTGCACGAGGACATCAAATGTCAGTCGTACACCAACCAGGAGATCCTCGAAAAAATGCACTCAACCTGCGAGTTGAGACCCCACAACTTTATCATCAAACCCATTTGCGCGACAGCAAGGTGGAAACGCGATAAGTGCCAACAAGTGATACGTACCAAAGACAAGCCCAGAGTTTCCTGCGAGCTCCTGGTTCCAGAGGTCGTCATAGACATATCCAAGGTAAGTTGGTTTTTAGCCCAAACCACTTATATTCATTGACGGGTTATAGTTTTACCTCAGTCCAAAGTTCATGCCTAATTAGTACTTTTTAAGTGTTTGAGCAATTATCAAACTTAAGCCTTGACGTAATTATATTTTACAACAGTAGGAGACTGCATAGTAAACAATATTATTATCGAGTATATTGCTGCACTCCATGTATAGCCAATCCTTTGTTGTACACACCAATTAGATAAGCCAAATGGTAAATTTTCCATTACCGAAAATATATTTTATAATATTATCCGATTATTATTATTAACATTTTATTCTTACTAAGTAACAAGTAACAGACTGTGTAAAGATTGGTCGTTTGATATTAAATTCACATTTTAAAGCGAACGTTTTCTCTAAAAGATTAAAAATTCGAACCTTAACATAAAATTGAGATATTGATCCTAATTGATTTAATATTTTCCAGGTCCAGCGGCTTCAGATGTTAGATAAGCTCTCAGAAATTCGTCAAGTTAAAGAAGTTCGACAATACAGGTTAAAGCGGCCCAATTGCAGCGTAGAAAGCAATCCAAGATCATGGTGGAAATATGCAAACGTTTGTCATGGTTTTGACTTTAAGCCAAATGAAGAAAAGTGGTCTATTCTCAAAGAAAATCTTCGTTACATGCTACTCTACAAAACGATCATTTTAAATCCAAATGAAAACCTGTCCAATGCAGATAAGGAGTTCAAGACTTACATCGAGAGCGACAGAAAGATTTCGGATTTAACAATAATGAGAAGAATATGCTTTGAAAAAGTTTTTACGAAAGGATTTGCCTTTGAATCGCAGAACGAGCAAGGAAAAACTATGCTCTTTCATTGGTTTCCAAACTGGATGGGTTGGTATGCAAACAGTCCAAGTACTCCAAATAGTGAACAGGATGAGTCACTAAAACATTTGGAAGATGACATTCTCGTTGCGTTGGAAAACTCAATTCAGAATTCTTCGGAATTAAAAAGCGATGCTGTTTTCGGGCATTTTTCAATTAATCTGCTCAAAGGTTTGATAATCCTGCAGACCGAAGATAAATTAAATGATGGCAGAATGAAATCAATGGAAATGCAGTTCAATAACTTTGCGGCTTACCTACAGTTAAGCCCTCAGTTAACTTCTTACACTGTGGGCATATCATTGCAAGAAGTATATTTAATAGATAAAACCAGTAATGAATCGATGCACAATTATTTAATAAAGCCACAAACAGGAAATACAGCTATACCAAATCAAATAGTAAAAAATGGACTTCAGGAAGAAACTTTGTTCCAATTACAATATGAAAATTGTAATAATTTACGATTTCAGCTCAATATTAAATCAAAAAGCTTAGATCTTATTTATAATGAGGATGCCATTCAGTGGCTTTTAGATTTCCTAGCGGATTCAAATCCGAAAAAATACTCACCGCGGGATAGGATCGAGAAGAAAACCGACTTTATGAAAAACTGGAATCAAATGTTTAGTGGCAATGAGGTGAGTAAAACTTTATAAAGCGCCGCTCAATGGCTTAATGTTTCTATATTTTTAGGTAAACCGAAAGATTTGGATGTTCGAAATCGAAATCTTCGCGCCTCGTATTATTTTCTTGGAAAACTACAAAGTTAGCAATTCGCTTATGGTCTTGCTCGACTTTGGAAAACTGGAAATGCGTAAAATGGAGGTCAAAAGAGTTATGCCTGTGATAGAATCGGCTGTAACAGAAAATGCAAGCGATGACGATGAAACCTATTTGACTCCATGTTCTACACCACCGGCATCAGAGAAAAGTGGATCTGAATCTCCGACACTTCTTGAAAATCCAAAAACGGAAAGCTTTTTAAACAAAAATGTTCATTTGGAGTATGTTCTACATAACAAGATATATGACAAATACCTGATTAATTTCACAAATCTTCAAGTCCTGGTGTGCAAATACGAAGAAAGGTGGCAAGCTTGCCTTAAAACATCCTCAAATTTCCACTTGATTGACAAATTTAATATAAATCTCACTCTTGAGCAAAGGAATATATTCACTGTTGATCCGGACTATCCTTCATTTATGCTTTTTGGCACCTGTCCAACGATATTAATCCATGGAAACGAGGAGCTTATTAATAATTGCTGTAACATTATGAAACCCATTATAAAGGCTTCGAAGGAAATGGAAAATATTTATAGAGGAGGCAACACACTTTACGCCAGTGAAAGAATTAAGAACTTGGCAGAGGACGATAAGAGTCGCGTCGTTATTGAGTTTGTAATGGACCAACTAGTAATAGAAATGCAGTCGACAGAAAGAAGCATTGCTGAGCTTCAAATCATCGGGGCAAGAGCTGGATTAACGAAAGAATCAAATGAGATGAACATTTCCATGTCGGTTCACGGATTGCTCTTAGTAGATGCCATTCAGTCTTTTGGTCCTGACTTTGAGTTATTGGTGGCTAGTCATCGACATGTCGGGTATGTAAATTCATAAAGTGCTGTACAAAAGCTTGTTAAATTGCTTTTCTTTTCGCTGCTTAGCTTAAAAAGACCACATTAAAGTTATATCCTTATGATTTTTTGGAAAGACTGATGCGTATTTAATTATTTTGTCTGTATGCATGATTAATTGTGCATTGTAAATCTTCATTTTAAATGTATAATAATGAAAACTATTTTAAAAATTATTTATGCGTTTTATAGAATGGATAGTTTATCTGGCAGTCTTAAACATAGTGCAATTGTTTCGCCAACTTCGCCTGGATCACCAAATTTTTTTGATAGGGCTACTAGTCCACACATGATTACAAAAGCAGTTCAAAATATTAAGATGGGTATGTACAATTCAAAAAGAGGATCCTTGTTTTTATTCAATATTTATAATGCGACCTATCTGCAAATTAACCAATCCTGTTTGCTAATAAGTATTTGCCTAACAACTTTACTTACTCAACATTTTAGTCTAAATAGTGAATATTAAAGTTTTTCAAAATGTATTTTTTAGGCGATAAACAAACAGAATACATTGACGATGAAGACTCAACAGCGCTAATTACGGTTGACATTAAAATTGTTCCACCCAATGAAAACAATTCAATGCAACTTCACACTACCAACATCACATTCAACAGCTTGGACATAATTGGTATTTATAATGAAGCTTTTATCAACATTTTTTTTTAGCCTCACATATATTTTAGCTAACCAAGATACTATTCTTGAAATTCTAAACTTCGCAAAAAGGACTCTTTTGGCACAAAATATATTCCAAAGTAACAGCCCTCAATCTACAATAGAAACGATTGAAGAATCAATAGAATTGGGTGATCAAGTTGATCATAAAAATCACAACGAAATATATTTTGATTTTTTCCGATTAAATATTCTATTGCTATACACCATCAGGAGAGACAAATTCAATGTTGGTCGAAAAGTTGGAACTGTAACTCTAACGGAAGCCAAAATCAATGCGTCCTTTCAATCGGATCTATCAATTTTCGGATCTCTTGGCGGAATACAGGTTATCGACATTACTTCAGAAGCTTTTTGCCATCCACGGATTCTTTCTGTTGGACGAGATCAAATCTTGAGAGCTTCCGACTCAAATAAACAAACTGTTCTTAGTCAGCTTTCAAACGAAATATACTCAAATAATTATAACGAAGAGAAAAGCGATGAAAGTGATGCAATAAGTTTTCAAAGTCATTGGAGTGATAAAACTACTTGCACCTTCCAAATGCG